GCAAACTGCACTCAGCTGCCAAACTTTGTGGGCGTGTTTGCGCTGGTATATCATTAGCGCAATATCCTTTGTGAATAGGACGTTAAGACGGAGCAAACTGCGGGTGCAAGTGAAGTGCAATTCAAGGTGCTATCAGTGGCTGCAGTCATTCTTTGTGAATTCGGCCCTGAGTCTTTTAACCTTGTGCAATCTGTCACAAGAGCCACACATTCTAAAGGTCATACTTTAGACCTGGTACTCTCATCTGGGTTCTCACTTGACTGTCTTAATTTGGTGTACTTACCTGTTACTGATCATAAAGCTGCTGTTTTTAAAGTCCCACTAAAGCTCTCCATTTCCACTCCCTGCTCTACAACTTGCTCTCGTCATTTTAACTCTTCTTTACCTCCTCCCAATCCCGATGCACTGTTTAAGTCATTCACTGATCAGTGCCTAGCCATCCTTGACCAAATTGCCCCATTTAAATCCAGGAAACTAAAATCAAATAATCTCCCCTGGCCGAATGACCACACTCGAGCCCTTCAAAGACTCTGTAGAAAGTCTGAATGACAATGGAAGGCCAATAAGTCAGAAATAACACAACCCTTACAAATCACATGCTCAGTTATCAGAAAGCAGTTAAAGATGCCAGAACTGCCTATTTCACTGATCTAATCTCAAGTAACAGCCATAATCCTAAAGTCCTCTATAAGCTTACTAAATTTGTTCTGGTCCTTCTTCTTTTGCTCAGCCTGATGCTGAGCTGCCTGAGAATTTTTTTGCCCATTTTGTAAATAAAGTAGAGAACATCAGGTCTCAAATTCAGCCTGACCCTTGCTCTATTTTTCTTCCTCATGTCAGTTCAGCCTTTCACTCAGTTTCAACCTGTTACAGCCTCTGAGTTAGAGTATACAGTCTCCCACATGAACTCCTCCTCCGGTATCCCTGATACCATCCCAGAAGCTCCTCAGAAAGGTACTGTCTGCCCTGTTATTTTACAAATTTTCAACAGTTCCTTGGTTTCTGGCTCATTCAATAACAGCTTTAAGCATGCCATTATTCACCCACTAAGAAATCTCAACTGGATCCTCTGTCCTTGAGTAACTATAGGCCAATTTCCAAATTGTCCTTCTTGTCCAAAGTTCTGGAGAAAGTAATTTCCTCACAACTGGTATCTTTTATGAATAATAACAATGTTTTTTTTTTTTTGTTTTAACAAATTTCAGTCAGGGGCGGCATGGTGGTATGGTGGTTAGCACTCTCGCCTCACAGCAAGAGGGTTGCCGGTTCGATCCCGGGCATGGGAGCCCTTCTGTGCGGAGTTTGCATGTTCTCCCTGTGTCAGCGTGGGTTCTCTCCGGGCACTCTGGCTTCCTCCCACAGTCCAAAGACATGCAGATTGGGGACTAGGTTAATTGATAACTCTAAATTGTCCGTAGGTGTGAATGTGAGCGTGAATGGTTGTTTGTCTCTATGTGTTAGCCCTGTGATAGTCTGGCGACCTGTCCAGGGTGTACCCTGCCTCTCGCCCGATGTCAGCTGGGATAGGCTCCAGCCCCCCCGCGACCCTCAAGAGGATGAAGCGGTTAGAAGATGAATGAATGAATGAATGAATGAAATTTCAGTCAGGTTTTAAAACACTTCATAGTACTGAGACAGCCATTGTTCAGGTTACTAATGACCATTTGCTTGCTGCAGACAGAGGTGACTCCTCAGTTTTTAGTTATTTTAGATTGAAGTGCCGCTTGTGACACTGTCGACCACTGTAGACTACTCTTCTGCACTGCCTAGAGACTTGGGTTGGAATTAAGGGCCTAAGTTGTACATGCCATTAAAAACCACAGATTCTAGCAGCCTATCTAATCTTGCATCTTGCCTCTCTGACTTTAAATCCTGAATGTCCCAAAACTTCCTCAAATTCAACGATGAGAAATCGGAAGTCATTCTGTTTGGCCCCCCAAATTTCATCAGCTCCGCTGGTGCTAATCTGGTGGAGCTGTCAAAGAATATTAAGCAGGCTGCTAGGAATCTAGGTGTGATTTTTGATGCCAAACTCTGTTTTGATAATAAAGTCAAAAGTGTTGTTCAGTCTTGTTTCTTTCAGCTCAAGATGATTGTGAAAATTAGGTAATTTTTATCACTCACAGACCTAAAAAAAAAGTTGTTCATGCTGTTATTTGATCATGACTTGATTACTGCAATGCACTTTACTCAGGTATTAGTCAGAGCTCCCTCTATTGTCTCCAGTTGGTCCAAAATGCTGCTGCCCGGCTCATTATTGGGACAAAGAGGCATGAGCACATCACCCCTGTGCCTGCCTCCCTACACTGGCTCCCTGTTAGTTCTCGAACTGATTTTAAAATTTTATTACTCACTTTTAAGGCCTTAAATGGTCCAGTGCCAAAATATATTACAGACTTATTGTCACAGTATGTGCCCTCTCGACCACTGAGATCCGCGGATGGAGCCCTGCTGGTTATTCTCAGGTCGCAGTTTGTGACGAAGGGAGATCTTGCTTTTGCTGTTAGAGCCCCCACACTCTGGAATGCTCTGCCTGTTGAACTAAGGAACACTAAGTCCCTTGTCTCTTTTAATTCTCGTCTTAACACCTTTCTCTTTGTAAAAGCTTTTGGGAACGTTTGACTGCTTTTATTTTACACTGTTTTAATATGTTTTGTTTGTATTTATTCATTTTAACTGTTTTTTGCTTCTTGTGTATCAGTCTTTTAGTCACTTGCCATGTCTGTTTTTTTAAAACTACCTCATTTGGTTTTATCTCTTCTTGTTAAGCACTTTGTAACATTGTTGAGAAAAATGCTATATAAGTGCTATATAAATAAAGTTTATCATTAGTATTATTAATGTTGTCTTGTTGGGGGACATTGGGACTTTATTATTGTCCCATTTGAGGACATTGGGACTTAATTATTGTTAACAATGTTTAGGTTTTTATACTTATCAGGTCCTACTGATCCCAAATATTCATTCATTCATTCATTGCTCGCAACAACAAACTTAGATCAATAAATAAATAAATATAAAACTTTCACCTATCAAACTATCCCAGCATCTGGGATTCACTGATAGTCATGATCATTTTGGCACAGTGTGAAGCAATCAGCCTAAATGCTGTAAATATATAAACACTGCAGTGACACGTAGTTGTTATCATGACTCACCCTCACGTTGATCAGCAGGCTCATTTCTCATTTCATCAACTCCCACAAGGTGCCTTGCACTGACCATTTATGGTTGGATGCTGGCATGTAGAGGGTGGGATATGAGGCAGAGCCATGTGCAGACAATTAGCACATGGGAGAAGTTTTCCTTGAAGGTTTTTTCCTGGAAAGCCCTTTCTGACAGAAATCTATTCATTTGAACCAAAATCACGACTCTATTCTCAACCTTAACCAAGAGATCCCTTTCTGGTAGAAAGCCCTCAATGACAGTTTCTCCCAACTGCGAAAATTTCCAAGCTCATCTGGGATTTATAAAAGGAAATTTTACACTGTCAGGCCTATGCACGGTTTTATAAATGAGAATATTTTTTGGCACACCATTTTCTGCTTTTGTTTGTGCATACACTTTTAGCATGGATCCTATGCACTGTTTCATAAATGAGACCCCACGTATGTTGGAGACATTTCCTCCAGAAAACTGTTACAAAGAGTATCACAGCTCTTCAGGACAGTCCACAGACTGATTACAGCACTACTGTGGGGCAAATTCACAGACAGTGACATCTGGTGGCTTTAATTGGATATTGGACTGGACTATTGCAATGGAGTCTTGTCCAGGCTTCCCAACAAGGTGCTGAACAGGCTCCAGTATGTGCACAACTCAGCTGCCGGGGTTCTCACCCATACCTAGCCCGAGCATCAGATCACCCTCACCCTTTTCCAACTTCACTGGCTTCAGGTCAAATCTTGCATCCACTACAAACTCCTGCTTACCTACATATCCCTTCACAGTCTTACCCGAGTATCTGTTTGACCTCCTCCACCCCTAAACCCTGTCCTAGACGTTACGGTCTTTGAATCTGGGTCTGCTCTCAACCTCCTAACCCAGCAAAGATCCACAAAGCTCCATCTCTCGACATTTACAAAAAACTGCTGAAGAGGCTTGTGGCCTCTAGCTCACTCATCACCAAAAAACATTGCTAACATTATTTCCGTTCTTGTTTTTTTGTGATTTATTCATTTTGTGTTTTCTTACCCCATAAAGCAGCCTTGGGTACCCTGAAAGGCACTACATATATCCATAATAGGTTATTAATATTATTATTAAAGTTCAGTACTACAGCAACAATGGCAGCAATATGATGTGCCACCAATTTATTAATCATTATATTTTACATAAAAAACAAACAAAAAAACAAATTCTTCTCCTATGGTGACATCACATCAGATCATAGTTCACTTGGATCCATTTATGGAACCGGAGAGAGCCAAACACACTACAGCTTACCAGCACAACAAGAAAACATCTTCACCTCTTTGACACGTCAGAAAAACACAAGTTACTTTGTCACAGGTGAAGAGTGGCCGACCGACTTAACTCATCTATTAACTTTACCTATAAACTAGTATTGGCTGAATGAAGCCTCATGAAGCTTTTTCTTTATTTCCTGAGCCCCCTAGATGGTGCTCTTGGTTTAAAGAGAGGGGCTCAAAGAATGGCAATTCAGTGTGATTTAAACCTTTTGTTGAACAAAAAGCGCCATCTATTGGGCTGAGAAAATAAAGAAAATTATTCATGAGTCTTCATTCGGCCATCACTATAAAACAGTTTTGAGCATGATATTCATATTACTGCAGCTATAGTCAAAGATGAGTATGTGGACTCCAGACAAACTTTTGGGGACTTTATTGAAAAGCAAAACATCAGCACTAAAAGAGAGCAATATATTTGATTTTCACATTCATTTATGGTTATCAGTACACAGGAAAATGTGCCAAAGCCTGTATGGATTCCTATAGAAGCCCAGTAATCATGTTAAATGATGTCTGACCTATCAATAGGTCCTAGGTTAGCTGTGGTGTTATAAATCTGCTGAGCCCTCTGACAAGTGACACCATTCTCTTACCCCCACCTAAATATTCCACAGTAATCAAAAACATTAATTTAGCATGCATAGACAGAGGAAACAGGAAATAAATGAGAAAAAAAGGTTTCTGAAAAAAAAAAAACAGAAATTTGTAAAACAGACTTCAACCACTTCATTCTGATTGCAGGAAGCAATCTTTCAGTCTTGTAAAGTTCTGTAAAGTTATAAAGTGACACATATCATAGTGTTTACTCTTTTTGTCCATCAGGTTTCTGGATTAAGTTCCTCAGTAAACTCAGAGCTGTCAGGAGCTGTGTGGTCAGAAACAAACTGTTAGTGTGAAACTGTGTGATTTCCACTCACCCTGCTCTGAACTTTTATAAACAGTAAATACAAGAAACATTCTTGAAAAGTTTATCTGCACAATAAATGTGAAACCTGTTTTAATCTGCAGCATTAAGTGTGAATCAGATCAGTAGAAAAAAATAAAATTAAGTTTTACTTACGAGATGGGGGAAGTTTGGCTGAAATCAAAACAAAAGACAAATCATTTCAGTTGCAGTTGGAAATGCCAGAATATTTTTTGTCACCTTATCCCCAATGAGTATGACCTCTCCTGCTCACTGCCACTGAAAAATCAATTAATCCACTCTTCTGTTCAGTCTTTATTGTGCTATCTCTGCCAGGCATAAACCTAGAGGGGATCATGCATTTGGTCGTGTGTCTATCTGTCTGTCCAGAGAACTCACAAACTACTGAACCCATCAGCCTAATATTTTGTGTGCACATTTCTGCCTGTATACTGAAGGACCTCTCATAGCTGTAGTGATTCACAGTTGTTGGAAAACTTGTATTATTGACTGTTTCATACCATCACTGACAGCTGACTCCTCAATCCTCTTAACCAGCTGGTTATTGGACACAAGTTTTCCAGAAATCAGCTCAGCTAAGGCAGCACTCACACTAAAAACGGGTATCTGCATATGTATGCAGAATCTGTAGTCTGTTTGTAGTTTGGGTGGTATTGGCTGATCATGTTTGAGTGGCAGGTAAACAGTCCATGTGGAGAGGCAGAACACATTAGCTGAAATGCAACTTAGGAGCCCATCAGCTATCGTCCAACAACCTAGCTTTATGTAAGCTTTATTGAAAATGTTTCTGCAATCATATTCTGATATCTGTTTAGAGAGACTGGTTGCAATGATCCACACACAGAAGAGGAAGTCATGGCCCTGATACCTACTTGCTACATCTGAACTCTCGAAATATTGGCCATTGTCTGTCAGACTGATACTGATCGGTTCCAAGATTACATTCAGACCAAACGAGGTGTTGTGGTGATGAACCACATGGTTGTGTGGCAGTGTGGGAGTTTCACTTAAATGATCAAATAGTGGAAGTGGTGGATGGAGACTATATAAAGCCAATCTAACCATTTCAGCGGCTGAGTTGATTTAACTAAGTGTGTTATTCATTCATTCATTCATCTTTTAACCGCTTCATCCTCTTGAGGGTCGCGGGGGAGCCTATCCCAGCTGACATTGGGCGAGAGGCAGGGTACACCCTGGACAGGTCGCCAGACTATCACAGGGCTGACACATAGAGACAAACAACCATTCACGCTCACATTCACACCTACGGACAATTTAGAGTTATCAATTAACCTAGTCCCCAATCTGCATGTCTTTGGACTGTGGGAGGAAGCCAGAGTGCCCGGAGAGAACCCACGCTGACACAGGGAGAACATGCAAACTCCGCACAGAAGGGCTCCCACGCCCGGGATCGAACCGGCAACCCTCTTGCTGTGAGGCGAGAGTGCTAACCACCACACCACCGTGCCGCCCCTAAGTGTGTTAATGTTGGCTTAAAAGATCTGTAGAATTCCTGTTGATTATCATCACTGTAGCATCTTGACTGCCACAAAAAGACACTTGAGTGCTCTTTCCATTTTTCTCTCTCACCTGTCTTCTTTTTGTAAATGACAAATCCAGTGGCAGCGATGAGAGCAAGAACAATCACTGCAGCAGTGATGGGGACGGTCATGTCACTGGGCTTCTCTGTTGAACAACAACAACAACAACAACAAAACTTACGATCAGTACAGATAAAGCATGGGGGTATTCCATCAAGCAGGCTAAAAGCAAATCCAGGCTTAAATGGCCAAGTCTGGCTAATGTTAGCCAGAGTTCTGTTCCATCAAAGTGGCTAAGATTAGCCTCACATCAGTAACCATGGAAACCATGGTTCTGGCTAAGCCTGATACATCAAGATAAACTCTGGTTTCCGTTCCATCAACCTGAGCCACAACTCTGTTCCAACAAGGTGGTTAACCTGAATCCCAGCCTAGTAACCATGGTAACTTGTGCTGCCGGGCAATCCTGGTCTGTAGCAGGATTAAGGTGAGGATTTGCTCCATCTATGATGAAAATATGTCAATAGACAAGAACAGACACCGAAAAGACAGTTCTGCCAGTGCTTTTACACAACACTGCAGGACTCGTTGCAGAAAAAAATATAATTTATTGCACTGTGACGTACGTTTTGAGCTGTGTGTTCTTCGTCTGACGAAGAGCACACAGTGCACACGGTGCACACGGTGCAATAAATTATATTTTTTTTCTGCAATGAGTCCTGCAGTGTTGCGAGTCATTCACCCTTGTTTCATCCACGACTATCAACTCAGCACCTGCCCTCCCACGGTGAGATGTGCGTGCTTTTGGCATGATTTTTAGTGCTTTTACACACTCAGAACTGTCATGTTGATAAAATCATATGTAGAACGTAAAATATATAACATAATTAATCAAAAAAACATTAACTATTATAAAACAAATTTAAATGTGATAAAAATAAGATAATAAAAAAACCACTTACAACAATAAAGCCAAAATCAAACTAATAAAAACAAAACTATAATAAAATGAAACTGAGGCATTAAAAAAATATTTTATACACCAAACCACATGAATATGTGATTGCCCTCCCATCCCCACCCCACTCTGTTTCCAATTGGCTAGTAAATTCACAGCCAATTAAGGTCAACTGACAACGCCCATATAAGGAGTGCATCCAAGAGAACGAGAGGGACACACTCTAGGAAAGGAAATTAGGAAATAATGGCATGCCCCTTCACTGAGGATCCTGTTGATGAGGAGGCCCACATTGTCCAGAGGGCTCTCCAATCACCACCAGCCCGAAGGGTCTTCCAGGACAGGACCAGCCCATTGATACAGACAGACTCCTATCTGTGGGAGAGGTACCGGTTCAGCAGGCAAAGCATAGTGTATCTATGCAGTTTGCTGGAACCACACATTTTAAAGTTCACACGCTGCAGCCAGTCTCTGTCCACTGTGCAGTCAGTCTGTATTGCACTGATGTTTTTTGCTAGTGGTACATTCCTGTATAGTGTTGTTGATGCTGAGAGGCTAAGTAAGGCAACTGTTTGCAGAGAGGTAAAAAGGGTGTATTTTCTATTCATTTTGATTATTTCTAGCATCACCATACATCATGCATAGGGCTTGATTTGTTCACATTAACATATGGTTATCTTTTATATTCATGAATTAACCATGACACAAAGCAACCACATTAAAATGGGACACACACCATTGTGGTATGTCTGTTCATCATCCTATAGCACATTCCATACATTTAAGGGGATTTTCCTTATTTTGATATAATAAGGGATAGAGCTTACAATTGACTCCCAAATGATGAGAAATAGATAATTGATTCACTATCACCTGCATTCACTTAATAGTTTTCCTCATCTCCACTGAATTGATGAATTTGCTAAATGTCATTTTCTACAATCAACAGATAAATGTAATGTGATTATTTCCTATTAACTGATCATTTCAGAAATGTCATAATCTACAATCAATTATGTGATAAATGCGATGATTGACATAAAATAGTTTGATTGAGTGCATCATCTGAAATGTACATAGGAATCAGTAGATAAATGTGATAAATAGTCTGTCACTAATATTAATTTACACATTTGGTGAATTTCATTAGGCATACTTGAATTGTTAGATTTAATAGCTGTAATATCTACATATATTTTGTCCCTTTGATGTGGGATTTATATAACATGATATTATGCTGAAATGCTGAATTTTCTTTGTCACTTATGCATTTAGCCTGTCAGCAATATTCTGCCACGCCACCTCCCTTTCTTTATTAATCTGCAGTATTGCCTTTTTTCGTAATCATGTCCTTATAGTCCTCATACACTTTCATAAGGAACGTTTGCTCCGCCACAGAAAAAGCCTCCGCTCGCTCCTTTCCTTTGCTTTTTGACATTCTGCAACATTTTCGGCACTCAACTAGTTTGGGCTTTTTATTTTCGGCATGAGTTGAGACTTAACAGGTGAGGCTTGAATTAGCGTCAGTTGAAGCCAGCTGATTTCACGTGATGGAACGGGTTGGCGCTAGATTGGGAGTTGGCGTTTAGTCAAACTTCAAGATTACACCTTAGTCTGGATATTCTTAGCTACGTTGATGGAATANTGATGGAACGGGTTGGCGCTAGATTGGGAGTTGGCGTTTAGTCAAACTTCAAGATTACACCTTAGTCTGGATATTCTTAGCTACGTTGATGGAATAGCCCCCAGGTCAGAACAGAGGCACATCCATCCATCCAGTGTTTCATTCATACTTACATTTGGATTTGTTGCTGTGAACTAAGACTGAATTAGAGTCCAGTTAATACAGGATAATTGTCTGTTATCTTAAAAGTGTGTGTCTGTAAAAATATATGGAAACCCTCATGTGCTAGACTTAAAAGCCGACACTGTGGAAAATTATGTAAAACTTGAATTAGCACCTCACGATGGTAAACCTTAGCGAATCAGTCAAGTTGCAGTTACAGTATACAGTCATGTCTGTCCAGACTCATGTGTAATCATGACAGTAGACGATGCTTCAAATATGGATGTTGCTGCAAAGAAGCTTTAAATTATAAAACATAAGCTGATCTTTGACTCTTTCGGATATTATGTTATGATGACATTATTTTACACACATAATTTGGTGAAAATCAGCGTATGTCCATGAGAATGGGACAGACGCAAAGTCAAAGTGACCTTGACCTTTGACCATCAAAATCTAGCCAGGTCATTGTTGATTCAAAGAAGATGTTTGTGCCATTACCTCCACTGCTGGCTTAAAGGCGAGACAACTCTGTCACCCCATTCCTCCATTATACCTTTTATACAAAACAGTTAGGCAGCATAATGGTGTAAAATTCCTGCCTTAAAAAGGCAGTGTAAAAGGAGCTATAGACATGCAGTCCCTTTCAGCACCCTCTGATCTCACTCTTACCCATGTTGGTCCTGATCACTGCTTTGTCCAGTGTGGTGACGATGTGGTCCTTCACACCAGAGAGATGAATCACACAGTCGTACCTCCTCCAGTCTTCAGGTGGGACTGATGATAGGTTCAGGTCATCACTCATCTGGAAGGATCCATCGTGGTTGGGGAGGATCTCTCCGAGCTCCACGTCCTCATGAATCTCCTCTCCATCTTTCCTCCAGAACATCATGGCTCTGTCAGGGTAGAAACCTGTAGCGTGGCAGCTGACTGGAGAGGAGGGAGACTTCTGGAGGAGAGACACTGAGGGAAGGTCTGCACAGAGAGAAGCAAGTGAAGACATATGTGCACAGTAAATCTGGATGCTTTTTCATACCAGTGGTAGATAATTGTTGCTGGTTAATCTAAAAGTGATCTCAATCAACAACAGAAGGTGTGAAAATTCTCCCTGGCAAAATAAATGAATAAATAAGTATTCAACAACAATCCAACATCCGCCTGTTTTTGCGGATTACAGCAAAGCAGTTTATAGCAATGTTCAATGAAACAGCAATATGTCTATTCTGAAACTCTGTGAACTTACTTAACTCATGCTAACTGTGCACTAACTATCACAGTCTCAGCTTTGATGGACAGAAATGTCAGAGCACTTTAACATGTCAGTCAAGTTAATGTCAGACAGTTTGGAGAGAAAATACAACAGCAGTTCATTCTGAGCAGGTTGTATGAACATTGTTATGTTAATGAAACTACATCAGGTCATGTGATTCTACCTTTTCTCTGCAGAGAGCTCTTTCCCATGGCCACATAAGTCTTCAGCCACTCAGGACAAACATGAGTTAAGAAGTTTTCATGGTCTATTAGTCTGACTTTGTCAGCATTCCATCTCAGTTTGGTGACGACAGCCTGTGGTTTCGGAGCGATCCATGTCAGTGTCTTCAGGTCCAATGATATGAAGTCTTCTCCATCATAACCATACTGCATAAAACCATTCCTCTCTCCAGTTTCATCATCCCACTCACAGCCACTCACCCTCTGGAAAATGTGGATATCTGAGAAACAGAGACTGTCATTAACAGTGATGTACAGATGATACCTCCAGTGGAAAGATGATCTTAAACATATTGTACATTATGTGATGCTCTGCTATCCTTCCAGTCTTGTGGTATGTTTTTGATTCAAGAGCAGATCATCAGTGCACTTTTTCTTTACGTGAGTGATGAACACAATTTCTATTTAACATTTTAAAAGTTACAATTGTAACTGTAAATTTTAAAATGACATAGTTTTTCTGATGTTAAATGTGTTCCCCAATCAATCAATAAATCAATATGTTCACTGTTTTCCATGGAGACGTGAGAACAATGAAGTGATCTTTTCAAATTCAATGTGACCGACCAGTTTGGTGGTGGGTCAGTGATGGTCTGGGAAGGCATATCCTTGGAGGGTCGCACTGACCTCCACGTCATAGCCAACGGTACCCTGACTGCTGTTAGGTACCGGGATGAAATCCTCAGAGCAATTGTCAGACTTTATGCTGGTGCAGTGGGCCCTGGGTTCCTAATGGTGCAGGGCAATGCCTGGCTTCATGTGGTCAGACTGTGTAGGCAGTTCCTGGATGATGAAGGCATTGATGCCATTGACTGGCCCTCTCGTTCCCCTGACATAAATCCAATGGAGCACCTATGGGACTTTATGTATCGGTGCATCTGATGCCACCAACTACTGCTACAGACTGTCCAGGAGCTCACTGATGCCCTGATCCACGTCTGGGAGGAAGTGCCCCGGGACACTGTCCACCAACTCATCAGGAACATCCCCAGACATTATCAGGAGCCCTCGCATGCCTGTATGAACAACTCAGACTGAGTCACATTATGAGTTGCTCTCCTAAAATTCACTGAAGTTGGATCAGCCTATGATTTCAGTTTTTTACTTTGATTTTCAATGTGATTTTGAATCCATCCCTCAGTGGGTTGATGATTTTGGTTTCCACTGACCGTTGTTACATCATTTTGTTCTCAACAAATTAAACAATGTACATGAGTAAAGATTTTCAACTTGAATCATTTGTTCATCAAGATCTGATGTGTGATTTAGGTGTTCCCTTAATTTTAATAAGCAGTGTAGCTTCTGTTCAGGTCTTTACAGTGCGTTTATAACATGAATCATAAGCTAAACTTTAAATAACATTTAATTTACTTTTCTTCACAGAAATGAATGAAATGCTGAGATAAAGGCCTACTGTATATTTAAAAGAAACGTTTTCTTACACCCCTTTAGATCAAGAAGGCCTTGTGACTCCTGTGAAGTTTTGCCCTCCCTTAATGAGGGCCCCGACCCCAAGGTTGAGAACAAGTGCTCTACAAAGTGCACTTTTCTGGTTTGACTATTGATGTTTTGAATTTTATTATCATACAGTGGGAATGAGTGAGGGTCACTTTACTTTACAGCTAAGACACTGAGCACTTTAACAGTAAGAGTGAAATACAAGCTGTACCTCCACTTTGGTTGAAGCGCTGCTTCAAGCTGTCCATCTTGGCTTTGAAGATATGTGGCAGGATCTGAAAACACTCTTCAGTGTACCACTCCAACTGCTGTGGATTGTTTTCTAATGCTGTTTTCACCCACTTTTGTTTTGGTTCTATTATCTTTTTATTAGAGTCGCAGTTACCCAGCAGAAGGTCATCAACCTTTTCAGCACCCACAAGCTGTGGGAAGTTTGGGACTCCAGAAGATGCAGTGAGGAAAAACTTCAGGGAGTGTTTTACTGCAGGACAAATGAGGAACATTCAGTTTAAATTTACACATTATCTTCACTTTCATCATAAATATGATATATTCAGTGTGATCCATTTTAAACTTACAGTCTTATGAAATTCTAAAGTACTTTGATAGTGAAAGTGAAACTAAACAAGTGTGTCCTGGCGCTACGCAGGAACAAAATACAGAGCCCAGTGGAAAGTGAAGCAAATATTCACAGTGTGATCTCACCTGATGATGACACGTGACACAAGAGAAGCAGCAAAAGTAGATTTTTCATCTTGTTTTGATGAAGAAGTGACCGAGCTGGTCACCTGGTCAGGTGTTTGTTTCTGCTTTTTCCTGCACTGTGAGGAGGGAGTGTCTCTGTTCTGATGCAACTAAAATAGGGACTGTATGAAACTTATTGAGGCGAGGAGGGGGGATAAATCTCCTGCTTCTACTGAAATAACATAAAGCCAAATGAGAAACAAAACTCAGTAGAAGTGACAGAAAAACAATGCACAGACTGTAGAGATGCAAATTTACCTGAATGATCAAAGTCAACAAGGAAATAGGCAGGTTTTCTTTTAAACTGAAAAGAAATAATGGTATGTATGAATAGTTGTTTTAATATGCGTTATTACTAAAATGATCTGCCATCATTTTGTAAACAAAAACGATGACAAAAAACATTTGCCAACATCCTTATTTCATGACAAAGATGATACGTTGAGCTAAAATAATGTATAATGTATGTGTTATTTTCACTGACGAAACAAGACGGGACTAATTCTTAGCTACTGGACATTCAAAATGAGAGAAGAGAAAAAAAGTGATAAATTATTTTATGAACTGTATTAGAAAAATGTTTAAAACAAGGAAGCCGAGTCATGCTTGAAATAATTTTCTGATCTGTATGAGTGGAATGAGATCAGAGCACCTTAAGAGGGTAACCTCCAGTAAACAGTCAGCACCAGGATGTTTTGCTAACCTGCAAAACACTCACACCAGAGCAGTGTCAGCCGTTAGCACGAGATGTGAGCTGCATTTCCTCAGTAAATAAGCAGCATGTGTGTCTGACTGTGGAGGGTGGAGTTGTTGAATAGATAATTGGAGTTTGTTGTATTGTATGCAGTGTTGGCTATTAACAACTAGCTCTGGTTGTTAACTGCTGAAGTGCAGCAGAGTGAGCAACCGTCAGCTGCCAGACTCAACCTCATCTCACAGAAATACGTGAAATGACCACGTCCACTTAACACCGCATTCCGTGGTGGCAGCACGTAATGGGTTGAAATTACGTGCTGCCACCACGAAAACAATGCCAATGTAAAGTCAATTAGGATCCTCTCCCATGGTGGACACACGGATNCACTTTAACATGTCAGTCAAGTTAATGTCAGACAGTTTGGAGAGAAAATACAACAGCAGTTCATTCTGAGCAGGTTGTATGAACATTGTTATGTTAATGAAACTACATCAGGTCATGTGATTCTACCTTTTCTCTGCAGAGAGCTCTTTCCCATGGCCACATAAGTCTTCAGCCACTCAGGACAAACATGAGTTAAGAAGTTTTCATGGTCTATTAGTCTGACTTTGTCAGCATTCCATCTCAGTTTGGTGACGACAGCCTGTGGTTTCGGAGCGATCCATGTCAGTGTCTTCAGGTCCAATGATATGAAGTCTTCTCCATCATAACCATACTGCATAAAACCATTCCTCTCTCCAGTTTCATCATCCCACTCACAGCCACTCACCCTCTGGAAAATGTGGATATCTGAGAAACAGAGACTGTCATTAACAGTGATGTACAGATGATACCTCCAGTGGAAAGATGATCTTAAACATATTGTACATTATGTGATGCTCTGCTATCCTTCCAGTCTTGTGGTATGTTTTTGATTCAAGAGCAGATCATCAGTGCACTTTTTCTTTACGTGAGTAATGAACACAATTTCTATTTAACATTTTAAAAGTTACAATTGTAACTGTAAATTTTAAAATGACATAGTTTTTCTGATGTTAAATGTGTTCCCCAATCAATCAATAAATCAATATGTTCACTGTTTTCCATGGAGACGTGAGAACAATGAAGTGATCTTTTCAAATTCAATGTGACCGACCAGTTTGGTGGTGGGTCAGTGATGGTCTGGGAAGGCATATCCTTGGAGGGTCGCACTGACCTCCACGTCATAGCCAACGGTACCCTGACTGCTGTTAGGTACCGGGATGAAATCCTCAGAGCAATTGTCAGACTTTATGCTGGTGCAGTGGGCCCTGGGTTCCTAATGGTGCAGGGCAATGCCTGGCTTCATGTGGTCAGACTGTGTAGGCAGTTCCTGGATGATGAAGGCATTGATGCCATTGACTGGCCCTCTCGTTCCCCTGACATAAATCCAATGGAGCACCTATGGGACTTTATGTATCGGTGCATCTGATGCCACCAACTACTGCTACAGACTGTCCAGGAGCTCACTGATGCCCTGATCCACGTCTGGGAGGAAGTGCCCCGGGACACTGTCCACCAACTCATCAGGAACATCCCCAGACATTATCAGGAGCCCTCGCATGCCTGTATGAACAACTCAGACTGAGTCACATTATGAGTTGCTCTCCTAAAATTCACTGAAGTTGGATCAGCCTATGATTTCAGTTTTTTACTTTGATTTTCAATGTGATTTTGAATCCATCCCTCAGTGGGTTGATGATTTTGGTTTCCACTGACCGTTGTTACATCATTTTGTTCTCAACAAATTAAACAATGTACATGAGTAAAGATTTTCAACTTGAATCATTTGTTCATCAAGATCTGATGTGTGATTTAGGTGTTCCCTTAATTTTAATAAGCAGTGTAGCTTCTGTTCAGGTCTTTACAGTGCGTTTATAACATGAATCATAAGCTAAACTTTAAATAACATTTAATTTACTTTTCTTCACAGAAATGAATGAAATGCTGAGATAAAGGCCTACTGTATATTTAAAAGAAACGTTTTCTTACACCCCTTTAGATCAAGAAGGCCTTGTGACTCCTGTGAAGTTTTGCCCTCCCTTAATGAGGGCCCCGACCCCAAGGTTGAGAACAAGTGCTCTACAAAGTGCACTTTTCTGGTTTGACTATTGATGTTTTGAATTTTATTATCATACAGTGGGAATGAGTGAGGGTCACTTTACTTTACAGCTAAGACACTGAGCACTTTAACAGTAAGAGTGAAATACAAGCTGTACCTCCACTTTGGTTGAAGCGCTGCTTCAAGCTGTCCATCTTGGCTTTGAAGATATGTGGCAGGATCTGAAAACACTCTTCAGTGTACCACTCCAACTGCTGTGGATTGTTTTCTAATGCTGTTTTCACCCACTTTTGTTTTGGTTCTATTATCTTTTTATTAGAGTCGCAGTTACCCAGCAGAAGGTCATCAACCACTGCAGCACCCACAAGCTGTGGGAAGTTTGGGACTCCAGAAGATGCAGTGAGGAAAAACTTCAGGGAGTGTTTTACTGCAGGACAAATGAGGAACATTCAGTTTAAATTCACACATTATCGTCACCTTCATCATAAATATGATATATTCAGTGTGATCCATTTTAAACTTACAGTCTTATGAAATTCTAAAGTACTTTGATAGTGAAAGTGAAACTAAACAAGTGTGTCCTGGCGCTACGCAGGAACAAAATACAGAGCCCAGTGGAAAGTGAAGCAAATATTCACAGTGTGATCTCACCTGATGATGACACGTGACACAAGAGAAGCAGCAAAAGTAGATTTTTCATCTTGTTTTGATGAAGAAGTGACCGAGCTGGTCACCTGGTCAGGTGTTTGTTTCTGCTTTTTCCTGCACTGTGAGGAGGGAGTGTCTCTGTTCTGATGCAACTAAAATAGGGACTGTATGAAACTTATTGAGGCGAGGAGGGGGGATAAATCTCCTGCTTCTACTGAAATAACATAAAGCCAAATGAGAAACAAAACTCAGTAGAAGTGACAGAAAAACAATGCACAGACTGTAGAGATGCAAATTTACCTGAATGATCAAAGTCAACAAGGAAATAGGCAGGTTTTCTTTTAAACTGAAAAGAAATAATGGTATGTATGAATAGTTGTTTTAATATGCGTTATTACTAAAATGATCTGCCATCATTTTGTAAACAAAAACGATGACAAAAAACATTTGCCAACATCCTTATTTCATGACAAAGATGATACGTTGAGCTAAAATAATGTATAATGTATGTGTTATTTTCACTGACGAAACAAGACGGGACTAATTCTTAGCTACTGGACATTCAAAATGAGAGAAGAGAAAAAAAGTGATAAATTATTTTATGAACTGTATTAGAAAAATGTTTAAAACAAGGAAGCCGAGTCATGCTTGAAATAATTTTCTGATCTGTATGAGTGGAATGAGATCAGAGCACCTTAAGAGGGTAACCTCCAGTAAACAGTCAGCACCAGGATGTTTTGCTAACCTGCAAAACACTCACACCAGAGCAGTGTCAGCCGTTAGCACGAGATGTGAGCTGCATTTCCTCAGTAAATAAGCAGCATGTGTGTCTGACTGTGGAGGGTGGAGTTGTTGAATAGATAATTGGAGTTTGTTGTATTGTATGCAGTGTTGGCTATTAACAACTAGCTCTGGTTGTTAACTGCTGAAGTGCAGCAGAGTGAGCAACCGTCAGCTGCCAGACTCAACCTCATCTCACAGAAATACGTGAAATGACCACGTCCACTTAACACCGCATTCCGGGGTGGCAGCACGTAATGGGTTGAAATTACGTGCTGCCACCACGAAAACAATGCCAATGTAAAGTCAATTAGGATCCTCTCCCATGGTGGACACACGGATTCCCTGATTCAATCACGTCACGTCAACCTCGTTTTCCTCAATGATATCTTTAACATTCCTGTACACACACAAAAACGCGGAAGTGTCCTTGATAACTCAACAATATGACAGGTTAATGTCAAGGCCATAAAATAAAATAAATGTATTTTGCCAGCTTTTGATAGCGTGGGGCTTTAAGAGCATTGTGCTGTGGGTGGATGGGGCGCATTCCACTACTGTTTTGTAGCTGTTGTCTGCCGTCTGTGGGCTTCATTCCATTTCAGATTGCCGTCCGTCCACCGTATCCGAATCCAAATGCCAGTAATAAATAAATAAAGAAGAAGAAAAAAATAAGGCTGAGCACGGAAGAACCAAAGAGGAAACACCATCACATGGAGCCGTCCGCATCAGGGGGCGGCAACCCGCTCCCCCTCCACTCCACCAGGGGAGAGTGGACCCCAAGGCAGCGCCACAGAACTAGAGTTGTACCGATACCAGTATCGTAAATGCCTTCAATACTGCCTAAAATGCGGTATCGGGTATTGGCGAGTACAGCCCATGACCTGTCCGATAGGCTACCACATAATGCCTCACGTCATTATGTAGCGTTCACACCAGGCGCAAGTGAAGCGAATTACTCGCATGTAACGCGCTGCGCGTAACACCCGAGTTTGGACGCTGGACCATTTTGTTAATTCGCGTTATCGTGTCATTCGCGCGAGTAGCGGGGAAGCCGGCTGTGCTAACTGGAGCTAAGCTAGTGCTAACGTTCATAGTACAACCATTCTGCAAACTAATTAAAGACACATATTTACAGAACTTACCAAGTAGACCAGTCTCCTCGGCAACTTTCACCCAAGCCTGCTCCTTTTTGTTGCGGTCTCTGTAGAGTAGACACGTAGTGTCATATAGCTCCGGGTAGCCACTGATGACTATGGCTGAGATAACCACCATCGCTGCTTTGTACCTGCTCTGGAAGTCCCAGATGCGTCGGAGGGCCAAACGCCATCGTTTTTGGGTTCACCCTATCCTGCAGAAGCGCATCCAGCTCGGCGAGTTTCACCACCTCCTCCAGGAACTCCGTCTGGATGATAGCCGCTTTCAGCGGTACTTTAGTCTGACTGGGGCCCAGTTTGAGGACCTGTTGGCGAGGGTTGGCGCCAGGATCTCCTGGCAGGACACCAACTACAGGAGCTCCATTTCAGCTGCGGAGCGTCTGTCCATCTGTCTCCGATGAGTAGCAGTTTATTGTTGTGTCAACAACNTGGCAGGACACCAACTACAGGAGCTCCATTTCAGCTGCGGAGCGTCTGTCCATCTGTCTCCGATGAGTAGCAGTTTATTGTTGTGTCAACAACTTGACGTTGTTGACACATGCCAGTGACGTTGGGAGAATCTCAATATTGATTGGCTTTCGCGGCACAGCGTCACGCGAGTTCGCCTCAAAAGTTCAATATTTTCAACTCGAGCAATGAGGCGATGGACGCGAATTTCGCGTGTAGCGCACTGCGCTAGACGCCTCTATCGCGTCCATCGCGTCGCGCTAGACGCATCCATCGCGCCACCCGGCACGAATTCGTGTCTAATTGCGTCTTTGCATTGACTTTGTATGTAATCTTGACGCGCGAATTTGCGAATTCGCATTTGGTGTGAACGCAGCTTTACACATACGCATGCTACAGGCAAACAAAACGGAAACGGAACGGAGTTTAAAAAGCATACTGTAGCCTTTAAAATATCTTTTTTACCAAATTGTGTGGCTGCACTTTAACCTGTGTCTTGATCTGTGTCAACACTGGATAATAATAATTAAAAAAAAGTTTTATGGCATTCATTCTACTATTATGTATTTATTTCTTAATATTTTACACAGAGTTTTAGGAGTTGAGACATACAACAATTCATATCCCATACATTTTTATTTTACACGCTGGTATCAGATCGGTACTTGGTATCGGCAGATACCTAAGGTTCAGGGAAATACCTAAGGTTCAGGGATCGGAATCAGTATCGGGAAGGAAAAAGTGGTATAGGTACATCTCTACACAGAACCAGCGGCCACCCCCCCCGGTGCAGAAGCTTCCACTCCACTGAGGAAACACTGGAGTTAAGAACTAAACTATGATAAATGACATAAAATATAAAAATGTAGGCCTAACATAAAATAAATTTGTTGTTAAATAAATTAAAACATATAACCTACAGTAGATAAAAGTAGAACATGCTAACAATAATAGGCTAAATAGTATCTAAGCAATAATGAAGTGTCTAAACAATAATAAATTGTATCTAAGTTATCTATTTACTCTGTAAATAGATTTTAAAATTTCAGTATAATTTTAATATAATTTTTGCTTATTTCATTATTGTTATTATTGGTTTTACTTTTTAGTAGTATTGTATTGTCTGAGGATGACTTATTTTATTAATTTTCTACAGTAAAAAAGATAAAAACAAGCAAATAAACTAACAAAATTCATTTTATACACTGGGCCTTCAAAGTGCTCTCTGAAACTACACCTGGCATGGCTTGTGTCCAAAAAATGAAAAAATCAAAACCTTGTCATAGAGCTAAACCAAATACATCATTGGAAAGGTCTCAACCTGGAGATTAACATATGTCAGTATGATGATTCTACATGGCTCCTGCTTTCAGCCATTGACCTTTGAACCTTGACTTCAGTGCATGTTTGAGGGCTTATAACTCAGCAACGAAAGGGGGTACAGACATGGGACCAACTGTTATAGAGAGCTCTTGACCTCAGCTATCATGTGAGTGTAGTCAACAACTGAGGGTGCTGTCAGATATGGATAAAATATGGATAAAATTAATTTTCACCCATTTAGAAATTAGATATTTAAAATCTGATTTCACAAATGTGTTTACCATCCCCTTAAAGTCCACAGTGTACTCTCAATTCAGTATTTACAACTTCCAAATCTGGGAAAAACACTGATATTTTTTAAAAACTACAATTCCCTTGGACCGCGCCATGCAGTTTGATACATATCAGCAACATAGTTGTAGTTCTTCTGATTTGCAAAGTAGGGTTCTAAACAGGGTTGTAAATAGATATATCTACTGAATATATCTAATATCTATTAAAGCCGAACTAGTTATTACACTTCACCTAGATGAACTATGGTAAGAAAAAGTAAAGATGTCGGCTAATTTTCAATATTTTAGCTAATACACTAGAAACTACTGTAAGTAGTTAATCTACTGAATATATCAAATATCTAGTACAGCCGAACTATCGTGTTATTATTATTATTATTATTGGTAGGGAATTATAACAGAGTTAAACAGCACACTTTTGTGTTTTGTGTGTATACAGGACGTTGTTGAATCAGGGACTCCATGTGTCCACCACGACAAAGGATCCTAATTGACTTTACATTGGCATTGTTTCCGTGGTTTCACGTATTTCTGTGAGATCAGGTTGATCAGTTCATCTTCTGCTTACTTAACTATTCACAGTAAACTAAATTGTGACTGGGGATGCCCAAACTTTTGCATGCCATAGAAAATTAAGTCTATATATTCCAAGACCTTTTTAGCAATTCCAGTAGGCTACACACCTTAAATGATATTCCTTAAACTTGAACTGACTTGCACGCACACTGCAGATACAGAGTGTTAGTGTATAAATAGCCTACAGTTACTATCAGTACAGGACACCCAAGGAAAACATTGTAAATGCTGTTTGATATAATTTTGATAAGTCCATTTAATGTAACCAAATCTCAATGAACACATCATCTAGGCTATCTTTAGCTCATACATTTATTTAATTTCACCTGACAACCAACATACAAGTATCTGTGAACACATACAGTACAATTAATTATAGTCATACCAACAAAAATTAGAAAATAAAAATATAGTTTTTGATCTTAGCATGTATCATGACCTTACCGGCAAATGCAGCATGACAGAGGAGAAGCATCGTCATCATCTTCTTCATCTTGTTTAGAGAGGAGAAGAGCTGTGTGTCTGAGAAGAGTCTGTCGGTTTAATGTTTTCACTCAGTCAAAAGACATTTGCTGGTTGTGTTTACGTTCTCTGAATATTTTAAGTAGTTCACCTGTGAGTGACTCCCTACAGGTAACCACTAAAAAAATTCCCCTTTACACACACACAGATGTTATCAATAGCATGACAGCATATTTTCTCCACAGTTCATTCAACAGAGACTTGTTCCTTGTCCTGACTCTGTGTGGTAATTTGAGCCTCTGTTATGTGTTCATGTGTCTTTAGCAGCAGACAAGCACAGACAGAGACCTTTAGAAGAAGCAGGCAGTGTATCATATAACACACAAAATTTGACCCATTGGACTTGATGCAATTCACCTGTAAAGCTTTATTTATAAAGTACTTGTCAGTGAGTACAGCATGCTTTACAAAGGGCACTGTCTGCAGCACAGCAGTAGTTTCAGTGACAACTTGTTAATATTCTCCTGATAATACCAGAACTGTGGATTATAAAGGTCTGTCAAATTACACACAAACTAAAGTTGTTTCAGTTCGATTTGTACTTCTGTGTTCTGTTTTTATCTCCCTCTCTGACTCCGTCATTGTAAAAACAAAACAAAAAAACCTGCACAACCAGCTTTTATTTTGATTCACATTTCATCTTCCTTGTAGATCGTAAGACAAAACAGTTTAAGATAACACGTTCAGCAAGAAATGAGGTCAGATGTTCCTTTCTTCCTGATGACTAGAACCAATGTTTTTTTTACTGTTACAGTGATAAATAATGAAAATCTGCAGAATGTAGCTGATTTTTGATTTGTTTTTTAGTTTTGCTTGTCACGTGATAAACAATAATAATTTAAGAAATAGGTGTATGCATTTAATTATACGTATATATTTTAAATCAAGTGGGAGAACTATGGAGTTGCCACTAGACTTCTGCAGGCGCAGGTTCCCTGTGGGCCCACTGATAACACATGTTTAACACAAGGTATCTGTCACTGCAGCTGTCTTGGCCAAAGATCCCATAATAAATAGATTACTCATCACAAGAACAAACCTGCTTGCACAGGTGGAATAAAAGAAAATCAGCTGACAAAAGAACATCTTGATGAGTACAAGGGACATAATACATTATGTTTTGCATGGACTTCAGGCTATGTATGTAGATTAAACAAGTAAGTTTAATGTTTACCATGTTTTTTTCTAAGTTTCGCATGTCAGCCTGCCAGGTGATACTTCACAATAAGGGACACAACATTTTGAGTACTCACTAAGGAACAAATCAGGAATGACCATTAGTTGATAAACAACAATCTGTCCCTAGAATGTTACAAGAGCAGAAAATGTCATGTATGCCACACTCCTTGAACTGTAAAGTTTCCCGACAGAACCTGAAATGTTGTGGACATTCCATTTCAGTTAAGATGCAACACCATTTTGGCAACGAGTCAGTTAGCAGTGGCTAAAGCTAACGCCATGCTGCGCTTAACAGTGGGGCAGAGGACAGCTGTGTGAGAAGGGGGAGAGGAAACAAAGAGTGAAGAAATGGCTACAACTGGTATGCTTGCAGTGTATGACTCAAAAAATCAAACCTGGAAAGAGTATTGTGAAATAATAGTGATGTTCATGGCAGCCAATGACATTGACAACAGAGACAAGCAGAGAGCCATACTGATCAGTGCCGTCGGAGCACCAATATACAGCTTGATGTGGAACCTTCTCAGCCAAGCCAAAGACAAGACCTTCTTGGAACTGGTGAGCCTGTTAAAAAAACACTTTGATCCCAAGCCAGGCAAAACTGTGCAAAGGTAGAAGTTTGATTCCAGAAATCGAAAGGCTAATGAATCCGTAATGGAGTATGCGGCAGAATTGCATTGGCTGGCACAGGACTGTAACTATGGTGACACCTTACAGCAGATGTTGAGAGACAGGATTGTCTGTGGGATTAATGATGACCGGATTCAAAGACGGCTCCTGGCAGAATTGGATTTGACTTTTGATTAAGCACTGTCAAATTGCTGCAGCAGTGGAGACAGTGAACAACAATGCCCAGGATCTGCAAAACCCGAGTGCAAAAGCAAAGTGCTTTAAGGTAAACAAAGGCTCACATGAGGCTGGAGAGTTCAAGGGAGCTACAAAGGAGTGTTACCGTTGTAAAGGACATCACACAGCATCTGAATGTGTCATGCATGTGGAAAAGTGGGGCACATTGCCAGAGCATGTTGTAAGAAGACAATGCAAAACAAAGGGAATACATAATGAGCTAATGTTAAGAGTAAAAAGGGGCGGAGCTCAAACTACCGTTCCCACAAAGTGCAAGAGAAGCAGGAGGACAGTAACATTGATCGTTCAGAAGAAGGCACATTAACACTGAAGTGCATGAAGTGCAAACTGGGTCACATGCGTGAAGTGCTTCTGAGAAAAATAGACCCATATACTGTGAGTATGAAAATGAATGGGAAAAGCTCCTCAGGTGAGGCCAGTCAGGATTAAGCTGGAGACTTATACAGGAGACCCTGGTTAGGTGATTGGTGCAGCTCTTGTCAGAGTCAAATACAAGCAGCAAAGTGCTAAGCTGCCCATTGTTGTGGTCAAAGGGGATGGCCCTGCCTTACTGGGGCAAGGCTGGCGAGTTGCCATGGTCCAGAATTCATGTGGACTATGCAGGCCCCCTCCAAGGAGAAATGTTCTTACTGATAGTGGATGCGCACTCAAAGTGGATGGACAAATATCCCATAAAGACATCCACATCACAGGATAGAGAAGCTACCTCAGAGTTTCAGTGTTTTTGGCCTACCAAAAATGTTAGTGTCTGACAACGGTACCTGTTGCACAAGTGCAGAGTTTGAGTCATTTATGAAGAAAAATGGCATTCATCATGTGAGGTCGGCACCGTTCCACCCATCCTCTTATGGGTTGGTGGAGAGGGCGATCCAAACCTTCAAGAAGGGAATGAAAAAGATGAAAGGAAAGACTTTGTCAACCAGACTGTCTAGGTTTCTGTTCAGTTATCACATCACCTGCAGAGCTGATGATGTCACAGAGACTCAGATCTGTTCTGGATTTTGTTGTGCTTGATGCTAAAATGCAGCAGAAACAGAATCAGAATCAGAATCTCTTTATTGTCATTGTACTAGTACAATTAAATTGAGGTAGCAGCTCGCAGATTCAGTGCAATAAAGGTATAAATTAAAAACAAGGCAGCAAAACAACAGCTATAGAAATATGATAAAAGAAACTATAAATAAGAAATATCACTAAAGGAATATTACACAGACAGCATAATATTGCACAGATGGCTGTATATTGCACATTATTACACGGCTCTATTAAATGCTGTATTCTGATTGGTCAGTTGCGGCATTCAGCGGTCTGATATTACTGTGTAATGACCGCTGCTAGTAGCAACGGTCATTACACAGTTGCTATGTAGCCCAGCGTTGCTGGGGACGCTGCCCTGACAACAGTTACTTTTTTATCGGGCTAACGTAGCCGTTACCGCTTCAAAATAATAATTTACAAAATACAAAGATGGACTATTTTCATGATGTAAGTTTTAATATATTTGGTGAGCATGAAAATCTTGAGACATGGTTACTGGCTGAAGATGAGAAGAATGCCTGAGAAGAGGGATGCTCAGAGGCGCACGGAAAAGAGAGGAGACACAAGATTGTGGATGACAGGGAGGTTGATCGCATCGAAGAAGAAAGACATGAACTAAACACCAAACGGAGCACTTTATGGGGCTTGAAGGTATTTAATGACTGGTTGAATGAGAAGAAAATGACAACAGATTTAGACAGTTATGGGTCAGAAGAGCTAAACCAAGTGCTGTGATCCTTTTATCCATCGGTGCAAAACTCCAACGGTCAAACCTACTCCGTTGCCAGTTATATCTCACTCAGGGGTGCTATTTGTCGGCACTTCTCAAAGTTTGACATTATGAACAGTGCTGCCTTCAAATCTAGCAATGGGGTATTTAAATCAGTAATAAAAAAAACTCCGCAAAAACGGGAAGGACATGAGTCACCACCAACCCCGATCTCAGCTACAGATATGCAGCTGCTCAGATGCTCAGAGGTGCTGTCTCCGTACACAGCTGTCGGGTTGGTCCGAAAAGTGTGGTTTGATGTGCAGCTGCATTTGGCAAGACGAGGGAGAGAGGGCAACAGAGACTTGAAAAGAGACTTTTGTTTTTTCTCGTGAACCCATGGGACACAATTTCTTTGGGCAGGTGTTACCTCAGATCAGCATGGCAGCCGGACTTTCTCAACGATACACCAATCACAGCCTGAGAAGCACCGCTGTCCAGCTTCTCTCTCAGGCTGGCCTTGAGAGTCGTCAGATCATGTCTGTAACTGGGCACAGATGTGAAAGCAGCCTCAAGAGCTACTGGGCTCCGTCCACCTCGGATCGGGCAAATTGGAGCAGGATCCTGTCCTCAGGAAACAGTAGGTCTAGTGGATCGCTTTGATAAAGTCATAGTAGCCTAATAATAGCTTCTTACGACT